GAAGAAAAAGATGTTAACAAAAATATTAAAATATAAGATCAAATAATTGATGAATAAAGCAGGTTTTAAGATTGTAAAGAAGATAAAATACTTGGATATCACTATGACAAATATATTACTTCAAAATAAGTATATTAAGACGTGGAATGAAGTTTTAAAAGATATGTTGATAGGAAAAATGCAACTGTTATTGTTGGAGATAATTTCTGTAATTAACATAAATGTTCTACTCAGAATGTTATTTTTGCAATAGTGGCGAATATCTATGGTTCAGGTATAGGATGAGGGTGATGATTCATTTTCTGAGCTTGTAGATTACTTTCTGAATGTTTCATTACCAGGTTAGGTAACATCTTCAGTGGAGTTTAGGGGATGTTGGTGACACTGATATCCCTTAAACAAGGCTGCAGATGTTACCTAACCTGGTAACCAAACGTTAGGAAATAAATCCAGAGAATGAACCTTCATCCTCATTGTTATTTTTGTTTCGGATAATATAAATTTTGACAATGGACACATTATTTAAACAATGGAAGAGGATATATATAAATCTGTATGGCAAGGGAAAAGAATGTTAGGATAGGGATCATTCCCAAAAATAAATAGTGGTAGCAGAAGGCTGAGCAAGGTACAAGGGTAATAAAAATCAGGACTTCTGGGAAACGGATGAAATTGTTTATTTTTACCCCTAGCTAGGTAGTGCTAAAATAATGACCATTAATTCTGATGTAAACTTAGTAATTTATGAGGCCTTTTTTGTGCTGTGTAAATGGAAAGTTCATGCAGAAAATGTAGTCCAAAACTATTTATGAATGCAACATACCATAAACCCTCAAAGCAGAAGGAGCAGAAAACCAATTTGTTTCTTGACTTTCCTTAGAAAGTTCTTCATCACGTAACTAAATGGATAAGGAAATATTAAATTAACTATCAAACAAATGTAAAGGACAAATCAAAAGTCAAAAATATATTTTAAAAATGTCTACCTCTAATAAGTCATCTAGGAAGCTGCAGGCTAAAATATCCTGTATTTTTATCTTTCCTAGAAAAGAAAAAAACAATGCTTATTTCACTAGTTAATGACTGTGATATTTTTAGGTTTAAGCAAGGTAAAACCCAAGTTATGCTGAAGGGAATTCAAAAGAAACAAATCAAATTTTGACCTATCAATTCAGGTTGTGAAAAAGCAGAAATGTTTTAAAATTAATGATATAAATAAATAATTAACACTTCAAATTGATTAAAATACTATAAAATATATTTCTAGGTATTATTTTTACCAAAATATTTATTTTTAACAAGGAAGAAAAATGTTTATGTTATTCAAATAGATTATGTTGCTTTCATTAAGAGCCCCTAATATTGGTGAATTTTTTTTAATTTTTTTAAAGTCTCTTTCCTTTCAAACAAAGCATTCCCCACTATTTCTGAAGTACATTAAGCAGGGGAAAAAATAATTCCATTCCCCACTAGATTTGGGGGATGCGATAGAAACTGCCTATCCAATTTTAATGCAGCTTCCTTATTTCTGAAGATGTAGACCAGAATGGGGAACACCTATGGCTATATTTGGAAGTCAGAATTGCTACTGAAATCAGGACAATGGTGCCAATGAAACCTACTTGAAGGATTAACACAGCAATTACAATCTCATATATTACTATTATCCACGGGGTCAGAACTACTGTGGGTAGGTATGACAGGCAAAGGAACTGTTTTGAATATATAGTTTATTCCATTGCTAGTTATAAATGCTATTTATGCCAGTGTAACCTGAACCAGTCAATTCCCATACAAATAACTGCTTTTTCATTTACTTCAGTAAGAAAGAAAGCTCTGTCTGTGTGCAAAGCTCATCCATAAGTGAAACAGCTGCTATTGTGATAGCAAATGGTAAAACTGAAGGCTTGGGTGTCATGTCAAATTCTTGTACATATCTGTACTGAAGCCACAACAGTCCAACTATTTCCCACAAGCATCATCATCCATTTATAATTTGCCATCTCAAATGTAATACAAAAATGTGAACAAGAAAATTTTTATTTGTCAATAACAGCTTTAACATACAAAAACATAATTGTGATTACTGTGCTCTGCCTAAATTCAACCAACCGACAATGATGATTTAGCTATTACATTGCTACAAAATGCATCAGACCAAAAACATACATGACTAATTAACTAAAATAAATCCGTTCCTGACTTAAAGTTTCAGTCAAAAACTAAGTTAGTACCAAATCTTTCTTTCTACAAATGATACAAGTTTTCAGATTTATGAGCTTCAGGAACACATTAATACAGCCAATAAAAACTGGAAGATTATGTTTCCAATTTTTACTGTAGTTTAGAATAATGCCTTAATCTGGAGAAACCGGGTTAGTCTTCATAGTTTCAATAATTATGATTTACTGAAGCAAGATAGTTTCAATCTAGCATCATTAGTTACATTTAAAATTAATCACTGAACAACAATCTTAACAACTATCTTTTAATTATTTCTTGATAGCTATACAAGAAAAGAAAGGTGACCGGATCATATCAAACCATAATATATTCAAAACAGGCATATATTTGTATAATTTGGATTACAATACTGGATTCAAATTTAAAAAAGAGGAGTAATTTAAACCTACCAGTTCTGAGAGGATCTAAAAAGAAGAAAAATTTTCTGACAGCAGTGCAGACATAAAACGAATAAAATGATTTTTCTAAACCATCCAATTGTGGCAAAGTGGGAATGAGTTCCAATATATAATTCTCTAAATCCTAAAAAATTAAACAAGAAAATATATATTTATACCACAAGTGTCATTATGATTAAATCTGAAACTTTTTACATTTGTTCTATAATTTGTAGAAGGAACAGACTGAGCATTCTTTTTTTAACTTCTTTCATAGTTTTTTTTATCAAAAGAAGGCCTGGCAATCTCTCTAGTCCTCTATTGATCCTGCAAGTCACATTATGCACAAACATTATGTATCCGTTCTCTGATGCATGCATAATTTATGGGGAGGTGTATAAATAGTCCTTGACTTACAGCCATTCATATAGTGATCATTCAAAGTTACAGTGGAACTGAAAAAATGACTTATGACTTTCACACTTGGTCATGTGATCAAGATTTGGACACTTGGCAACTGGTTCATGTTTATGATAGCTGCAGTGTCCCAAGGTCATTTGATTACCTTTTGTAACCTTCAGACAAGCAAAGTCAATAGGGAAGCCAGATTCACTTAACAACCATATTAAAAACTTAATTGCAATGAGAAAGGTCATAAAATGGGGCAAAACTCAATTAGCAAGTGTGTTGCTTAGCAACATAAATTTTGGATTCAATTGTGGTTGTAAGTTGAGGATTACTTGTAATTGTCAAAAGTATCTGGCAATATAGGACTCCATTTGTGAGAACTGTAGCAGTGTTATCCTGTTTAGTTTTTAAAAAAAGGAAAGTTAACTTACACTCAAGATTCCTTGGCATGCAGAGTGGTTGCATAATACAAATATCAGTCCATAATTAATTAATGCTATGTGAACAATAGTCTCCCATAAACAATTATATTACAATTTTATTTGTTAATCAAATTTGTACTCTTTTACAAATTACAAGCCACCCCAGTGGCTTACTTGAAATCTTTCTGATTATATATATAAACAGATGATTAATAAATATGTTCCTTTTGACTACTCTTTTTGAATGACAATAAAGACAACAGAAATAATTTCAGTGACATTAGATAATATATCAATAATTATTCCTCACTTACTGATTCTCTGAGGTAACCCTGTCCAGCCACATCATATAAACTGAGGCCTATTCTTGTCTGGTACAGCCATACTGTGAAGCAGATTAAAAAACACCCAAAGTAAAATAAGGTATAATAACAAACTGAAAGAACATTAGAAAGATATTGGTATTCATAAGTATTCCAACCAAGGCAAACTGGATACTTCCTATTTAAATTAATTACAAATAAAAATTCCAAAATCTGTTAAAGCAAATTGTACAAATTTAAATACCATATGTATATATTACCAGTAGTTGCAGAGAACTGAATATTATCTGGCATTCTTATGTTTCAATTTACAAAATTCTTGAGCTCCACTTTCCTGAGATTTTTGTCTTGCTTAACTGATGACCATCCTGACTTCCATTAAGATATGTTTTTTTTTTTTACTCACTAGGTGATAATTGATTGTTACTAAGCTATTGTTGTGATTCTGGCATGGGTACTTATATTTGCAGAGTAGCTTTATTTATTT